AGGAGACCTTGAAGATATGTATTGTAACAGATTTGGGACCTCAACCTTATGCCAGAGTAAATGTACATGACACAGTGGTAACCCATAGCAACCTAATTTTTCAAAGTAGCTGCTGATGTCAGGGAACTAGGGCACTAAAGTCTAATACAGCTCTGAAGACAAATGAAGTCCCAGTTAGCAATGTTACTCACTGATCATTATGTTACTACAAGGTATATACACTCTTGGTGATGGTGGAATATCAAATGTATTACAAGAGAATACGAGGGCTTTTGCTTGTATTATATTCTATCTTTTAATCCAAGATTAACAAAAAAGGAAAGTAGGCTATTTAGTGATGCTTGAAGCTTTAATTTAATAAAAGATGATTATACAAGAAAAAATAACTCCCACCTCCTCAACGTTCCTCCCCTCAGAAAATGTTATTTTTCTACAAACAATATTTTAGAAGTTATAAAATGATTCCAAAAGAGTATTTCACTAAATTGTGTGTGCTATAAAATGGATTTCTTATCTAACCTGACATAAGGCAAAGAATTCTATTTCATTAGAAATCTATGAAATTGCTCTGATCTTGTAGAGCTCTTAAAGCTAGTGAATACAAGATTTCCTCTAATTTAATATTTCTAGAAATCTTTTGAATGTGATGTTTGAACAATAATGAAAAGAAACATAGAGTGTTTTTTTAATAGTTTATATAATGCTAAGGAGGAGAGACTTTCAACTGTACTTATAATCATTTTCCAAATCTGGAGAGAGTGCAAACAGAGAAACTAAAGTGAAGTACCAAACCAATATCAAAAGTAGGGTTGAACTGAGGCCTCTCAACAGAGTTTGTTTCAAAATCAATAATGACCAAATAGTTTCTGTAATTTAGGAAGTGTTTGATTTGTGTTCTTAATCTTGTTTTCTCCCAAAGCTTAATTTGGGCAAAATTCCTTTTTTTTTTTTTTTTAGAGAGAGAGAGAGAGAGAATTTTTTAATATTTATTTTTTAGTTCTTGGCGGACACAACATCTTTGTTTGTATGTGGTGCTGAGGATCGAACCCAGGCCGCACACATGCCAGGCAAGCGTGCTACCACTTGAGCCACATCCCCAGCCCGGGCAAAATTCCGTTAGGGGATAAAAAGGCCAAAGAGCAAGAAAAATAAGAGGCTGAGAACTATATGTATATTTAGTGAAGTTTTCATTACTTMAGTTTTATGAAAGAATATTTCAATAAACTAAATTTCAAAGGTTTAACATAGAGAACTCAATAAAGACAGATATCTATAATATTAACAACTCATTTTCATTGATGAGAAATAAAATCTTTTATATAATTAGCTGGTTTACTAACCTAATACAATTACATAAAATTACATAAAATATTAATTTCCTTTCACCAACTCCCATTTCTTCCTGGATCAGAAATTTGGTCTTAAAAAGAAGCAGRCTCTGTTCATTAATATTTATCTAATAACTATATCTGGCCAACTTAGGGGGACAAAATTAGCATATCTAAAAAATAGGTTAAATTTGACAATCAACATTTTGGTTATTTTAAGAAATACTAGCTAAAAGTCTATCTACAAACCATGGAAGTTAACTGACATTTTCTTTGGATCTAAAATGAAAGGCCACCTTCTGTCTGCTTATTTTGATCAGTCATGCAGACTCTTGGTTTACAGGAGGCTGGTTCAAGATGTTAAARAGCTTTCAGGTGTTTCTTAATACAGAGGCCTTGGCACTGCCTACCAGCCCTGAAGAACATTCTTCTAGGAGATGGAATGGCTATGGTGAAACATCCTGAAGACTTTACATCTCTATCCTAGGACTTGAACAGTGATTTCATTAAAACTTCAATAAATCAGGCTGAATCCTCAGTCAATGGGGAAAGAGAAGGACATCAGAGGTGAATCACCAAGACTACGGAGAAAAGGCAACACTGCCATAATGGGGATAATAAGGAAATCTTGGAAGAGCTCTGTCAGACACAAACACAGGAGGGGATATAGCTTGGAAGAAACCTTCCAGGTGATTCTGGTATCTCATCTCCCACTACCTTCCATGTTAAAAAAAAAAAATACAGAGGGCTATAGAGGAAAAAAGATACAGATGTCACTTCAAGTTGATACATGCTGATTTCCAATTTAATCCAGGCAACTAGAGTAAAACTCTCCCAGAAAAGCACTCTAAGTTAACTTCTCATTACACTTATTTATCTGTCATTTCTCACAAACTTCTAAAGCTTTTTGCTTTCAAGCTATAAAAATATAATATTAGAAGGAAAAAAAAAAGCTCCAGTCCAAGTTTATTGTACCCACTAACAAATTCAGAAGCAACATGAAGACCACATTTATGTTTTCATTAGTGCTTTCTTTCTGAACTAATCAAATCTCATTTTTAAAATACCTCCATTACCTACAGGTCAGATTTATGGAAATTTTGAGACCTGGCATAAAATTATACTTCAACATTTGAAAATATTTTTCTAGCAACTAATGAATAGACCACAAGTACTGAGAAAAAGTGAAAATAGGTAAGAACCAAGACCTTAATAGCTGTTCAAAGTATCAATACTGGTCAATTTGGTGATAAAATGAGGTACCTGCCAAACAGGCAATGCCCTTTTAAAAGCCTCTCTGCACCACACCACCAAGGAAGAGAGAGGAGAAAGGATCTAGAAAGGAAACACATGAGAAAAGAAAAATGAAACAATAAAGCATTAAAAAAAAAAAAAGGCAGAAGCCAAGCCAGCAAATAGTAATGAGCCAAACTGACAGCCCAAGAAGTGTTTAGAGTACTAAAGAGACAGTAATTTGGAAGGGCCAGAGCCAGTCAAATCTCAGTGGCTCTTGCTCCTGCTGAGCAGCTGTTAGTCAGCCATTGATAGTTCACTACCCAGTGGGGGACAGGAAGAGAGGAAAGAAGATAACCATTCAGTTCTGATCAGCACAGTTTGTTGGAATAAGTAAGCAGGCACGTCAAACTCTATTAATTTCCAATCAGCCACTAAGGAAAACTGGAGGCTAAGCTAGAGACACCTGCAGAAGAAGGGGGTTATGTACCTTATGCAAACTACCCCATGAGTTCCAGAATCCCACAAAAACCCAATGAAAACTCAAGGGATGAAGTGACMTTGATAGACACAATTAAATAAAAACAAAAGCAATTAAGCAAATACTTTTGATTAAGAGGTTGAAATTTTAGAATAAATTGCTTTGGCTTTTATTCTAGGACACAGCTGATCTCCAAATACAATTGATGAAAAATAAAGGTAAATCCATCTTGATGACATAGGCATGTGCTATGCTGCACTTGAGGAAGAACATCCTCATTAAACAAACTAGTTTTAAGTAAAATTAAAAATAGATGAACACATCTTCCATGTGATGCTATTCCCATAAAATGAAACATTCGGTGATAGCTGAAAATGTTAGGCTCTCAGAGGAGGCTTATGCAACCAGATGATCCAAAACATTGTTTCTGGCTTGCCAGAAGTTTGGGAAACTCAATAGGAGAGTATTTCAAAACTACAGGTTTTCCTACATGTAGAAAGGAATTGCAGAGAAGTTACAATTATGACACAAAGTTAGTGCCCAGTACTACTTTTCCCACTTCCAGAAGACCTTTTAGTTCTTGATTCAACCTAGGAATCATGGATTATTTTAAAAATATATCCAATTATTATTTAAGAGGTTGGTTACTTGAGAAAAAGGTTTGTCTATACCTAATAGTCTATGGAAAGGCAAGGCATAAAAATTTCTATATACAATCCCTATATTGTCCATATAGTTATTTATTGAAAAACAGTAATCATAGAAATTTTAAGTTAAAAACCCTAAATCAAAGCAAAAATAAATTTAGAGTTTGAAAATCAGAAAATTATATTTTTTGCTTCCCCATAAAGCCCAAAAAGGAATTAGTGCCTATTAACACAATTTATCATTAGTTTATGGGATTTTCATGTTCTTCCTATGTGAAAATTCAGGAAAATGATAGTTTCCCGTTGTAAATTTTTTTTTCAGCATAGCTAAGAGCAAAGATAAAATGGCATTTTTATAAGTTTCACTTCTAAGAGCACTGATAACCCAGTAAATGGCCTGGCTATTAGAAGTACCCTATTCTAAAATCACTGAATTAAAAAATAGCCAATGTAGCTGAAAGTGTATTTGTAATCTAAAGCTCCACCTAGATCCCATGAAGGATCAGTTGACTGCCCAGGGTTAAGTTCCAAAAAATGATCAAAAGCCTGTTTCTTATCATTTTAGCTAATAAAGATGCTGCTCAATACTGTTTAAAAACTAAATGGGTGATTTCATACCCTACATTATAAAGAGCTATAAACAAACAGAACTACTTGGAAACATTTTTCTTTTAAAGTTATGTCTTTAATACATGTGATTGTAATACACTGTATATTTAAGAAGACAGGTCTGTGTGTGTGTGTGTGTGTGTGTGTTCCATTAATTTAAAGTCATTTATGCCAATTGAAACAAAATACTATTGTTTTCAAGTCTTAACAATCAGGCTTCTAGTTAATAAACTCATGACTTAAGCAACAATTGCCAAATGAAGGAGAAGACCCAGAGGAGAAAAAACGTGTATGCAGAGGAATGAAATGTTTATCATTTTTTATTATCAAAAGGTAAATATTGCCAGGCCTGTTGGCGAATGCCTGTAATCCCAGCGGCTAGGGAGGCTGAGGTGGGAGGATCACAAGTTCAAAGCCAGCCTTAGCTAAATTGAGGTTCTAATAAGCAAATCAGTGAAAACTTGTCTCTAAATAAAATACAAAATAGGGCTGGGGATATGGCTCGGTAGCCGAGTGTCCCTGAGTTCAATCCCTGGTACCAAAAAAAAAAAGTAAATATTACATTTGGTACACCGAAGATATGAAGTTAATTTTAAGAAGATTAAATTCTCTCTAAGTAAGCTGATTGCTAATTTATTTAAAATGACAAAAAAAGCAAAATTCCAAGAAACCGGTATACAAATTTCACAACTGTTTTCTTACCCCGTAGGTTGTACAGTCGAACTGTATGAGAAACATGTTCAAAGTAGCTAGTCACTTCGGAATAAATCTTTCCATGTACCACTCTGACAAAGGGTGCTTTTTTATAAACATAAGGCTGAGGAGGAAATGACATAAATTTTAGTAAACATATTTTGGTTTCTAAATCTTTCCAAGAAATGATTCTATAGTTTCCAAATAGGCAAACACACATCGCCTAATATTTGCAATTTTAAATGAAAACCAGACCTTAAATATATCAAAATATGCAACATCTTAAGAATTGAATATCACATTTTAGTTATTAAAAACTGCCAAAATCTATATTTAYAAATGTTTACAATTTGATTGATTCAGATGATCTACAAACATCTCTCCCAGGCATAAAAATTTCTATATACAATCCCTATACTGACATATAGTTATTTATTGAAAAACAGTAATCATTCTACAGCCATGACATCCTCCCAGGCTAACATTTATTATAATAACTAGGCCCCCTATAATGTTCAGAGTGTGGGGCAGGTGATAAGGATGTCAACAAAGATTCATATAAGGTAATAGAAAGCAGGATCTAGAAACAGCTTAATGACAGTCAGGTTTACTAACTATAAAACATTTTGCCTGTTATGTGAAAGAACTATTTAAATATAAAGSAAATTCACAAACTTGAAAAAAATTACGTGGAAACCAGTGGTTTAGTTTTCATTATTTGAAATATAAGTTCAAGAAAATAAGAGAAAAAGCACTTAGGTGACCTGAAAACAAACTTAAAGCATTTATTAAGAATTACATTTTAAATATTATTTTAAAAATTATATATTCATATATTTTATAGCATATACTTTAAGAATTGTATTTCAAGTATTAGAGACCTTAGCTTGATAATAGCATGACAAGCTAGGCTTCCAGTGTGAAATACTTGAGCAACGTAAGACTCAAAGAATTGTGTAATTGTATTCCAAATCTATATCTCTGGCTAGAGAAAAAATATTCAGAAGTTAATAAAATATTTAATAATCTACAACATCCTTATACCTGATTACTGCAAAAAGTTGGTGGGAGATGAGAACCTGGGATGGTGATATGTGGGCTCCTACTGTTTTCTGATACATTCAGCTGACTCTCTCCCTGCTATAATTTTATTTTGCCTTTATAAAAAAAAAATCCCAATTCTCTTTAACCTTCTATCTGACATTACACATAATTAAAGAAAAAATAATGCAATTACTTTYATCTATGCTCAATATTTCATAGTACAACTATCTTTAAAATCTTAATAAAAGCCCCACACAGTGGGAGCAACTTTGGAGGCTGAGGCAAGATGACTCCAAGTTTGAGGCCAGCCTCAGCAATTTAGTGAGGCCCTTAGCAACTCAGTGAAACCGTCTCAACATAAAAACTAAAACAAAGGCTGGAGATATCACTCGGTGCTAAAGCACCTCTCTCCTTGGTAAAATCTGAAGATCCACTGTCAATTACAGAACACCTACTATGAGCTGTAATTTAYCTTTAATTCTTCACTGACTTAAAAAAAAAATACAAAAAGCTAAAGCCCTTAATGTGGCCTACACAATTCCTAAAAATCAAATATTTGATTTTTGGTTAGTAGGTGTCCCAAAATTTCAGAACAAAAGTAACTTTCTCAGAAGGTAAGTCCCGCAGTCAACAAAACATTAARGAGGATAGCTAACTGATCTCTAGGTGGGGAAAAAACCTATAAAGTTTATAAGCAAAAAAGGGAACTCTAAAGAAAAAATACAGAAATAACTAAACAAACATTACAAACTATTATAAAAGAAAAATAATGAAAAAATTAAATGACATATTGAAAGAAAATTTTGCAACATAGGGAAAACATCAATTTTACCACATACAAAAAGAGTAATTAAAGATCTACAGGACCCAATTTGATTCAAATGTATGATATGTCAAGATCATCGTATTGTCATGTGCAACTAATAAAAAAAAAGAAAGAAAAAAAAAGATCTACAGGACACAACAATATACCATTTGATCTAAAAATGTACATAGGAAACTCAAAGAACAAATATGAAAGATAAATGAATGGAGAAAAAGAGTTCCACCTGACTAGTAATCACAAAGTTTTAACAGGAAAATATATTTCAATTAACCTATTATCATGGGCAAACCTTTTAGTATGACTAATTCTCAGTGCATAGATTAGTACATATGAGAGTTCCTTAAAAAAAAAAATGTTGGGAATGAACACTTAAAAATGCTTCATACACCAATGCAAAATTACTAAGTTATTCTCAGGAAAAAAAAAATCAGAGCCGCATCGAAAGAATGGAACAAATATTATTGCAATGTCCCAGCAGTGAAGAATTGGAACAAAGTACATGTGCAATATTAGGAAATTTGTACACATCCAGTGTATATTAAAATTGTGCCATCAGACTGTGAGTACTGCTACAAATGAGAAAATATGAAAGTCCCGTGAGACAAAACTGAGAATACTGGGAAGGGATATGCATAAAATAAAAGACAATAAAAAATAATACATCAAAGTGTTGGCAGTGGTTTTCACAGGATTCTGGTCTAGTTGGTAAATTTTATTGTTTTCTTTATTGTTTTATATATAGCAGGGAAAATTTGTTTTATTGAAGTGCTAAAAGTTAAGGAAAATATGGTCGATTGCATAGTCTATTTGTCCCACAGAACTAGGTGTTTTGTGTCTGCACATATGTTGTGCTGCACACATGTTAAACACCACAACAGTATCCTAACCTTAAGTTAAATCTAGCTTCCTTTTATGCAAAAAATTCATTCACTATAGCATTCTAACTGAATTACACTTCTGAAACACCGTTTATCTAACTTTCAGCTACAAATTGATAGTAAGGGTAAACATAGTACTGGAGCCAAAAGTTTATCCATAATAGATGAACATATCAATGATAAACTGATGAGACACACCCCCTCCCAATACTTTCAATAAGTTTATTTCACTTGTCATCAGCGCCACTCACCTGGGCAAAACCATCAGGCAGAAAGAGGTAGGCGCCACTTTTGTCTTTTTTACTTGTGGTTCCATACCAGGTAAATTGCACTTTTATTTCATGGATTTGCTTGTCTTCTCTTGTCATCATTGTCTAAAGGTAAAAATTTAAGCAACTCACTATTGAAATGTTTATCACATTGCATCTGATTCTGTGCACATGTCCATTAAAAAAAATGGTTACAGAATAGATTGAAAAAGTGCTAATTTAAGCTTCTAATGTTCAAAATTCTTGGTTGAATAYCAAAATTTTATACTTAGCCTCACAATTTAAAACCTTCACAATAGGAACAAAAAGTGAGAACAYACTTCATCAAGATCAAAGAGCTATATGTATTAGGAATTCTAGACCACTGCTTCTCAAACTTTCTGTAGAAGGAGAACATCTATTTTTTATTTCCAATATGCATGGGCCAAAATTTTTGAGAAGTACAATAAAAGCGAGTTGAAAACTGGAGCTGAATTTAAAAATTATTTTTAAAATGACATGCCATGAATATTTAATTTTTTATTATTAGTAATTTTACTCTTTCAAATTGTATTCAGAGTTTTGAAAACATTCCTAAACATTGACATTTTCAAAACCTATCTAATGAACTATTAACAGTCCATGGCATAGCACCACCTCACACTAACTAGTACCACCCACAGACCACAGCTGTGAATAATGAGGGCCACTGAAGGTATGTACAGCTGCTCATCCAAAAGAAACCCGGAGTATTTGGTACAGCTCTTAGAAAGACTTTATTCTCTTTGCAAAGTAATCTGCACATGTAATTAAAAGTGACAAGCCTTYTTTGAATTTCATAACTATTTAGAACTTACCTCCATAAGTCCAGTTTTATCAAATGAAAGAATAAGGTGGGGGTTCTCTAGAATTATAGGTTCGCTGTCACTCTTCATACTCTTTATGTTGAAAATTTCACTTGTTGCTTCACCATTATAGACAACATACTCAGCCAAATCTGAATCTGATTTTCCTGTTTCTAAAAGTGTATACACTTTCAGRCCCAAGGGTGGTGTTTTTGCTATAAAAGAAATCTTTAAAAGATATGGGAGGGAATTAATTACAGAAAATATAATCCGCTGAAAAGCACACAATTTATATTTYCAGAAAAACAACAAACTACCATATTTTTAAAAGGGAGGATATAATACTATTCTACAGATGATTTGATAACTTATGGGTATGGTATTTACATCTTGGTTAATCCAGGGAATCCAATGGCCTTAAGTTGGTAGGCCTATCAAAGCATCAATAATTTCACTCCATATATGAAATTATAAACCATCCTCAATGGTTTTACAGTGTTTTTATTGGATGTTCAAAGGAGGAAATTCTCCATAAAGGAGAGTAATGGTTTATTGTAAACAATACTTTTTCTAATTAATAGAAATCGTTTTGTAATATTGTAATATTTCAATATGTTGAAATAGTAAATCAAATTATATGAATATTAAACATGACAGTTTAGTCAGCAGTAGCCCACAAAATTCCTGAGGCTTAGCACACACTTTACAAAGCATGGAGGATGCACACATCATAAGACTCCTGMCTTAAAGAGGCAATTCCAATTCCTAGACAGGATGTTTTTTATAAAATCTGACTAAAATTTGCATTATACTTTTGTTTTTCTTTTAAAWTTTTTTTTAGTTATAAATGGACCAATCTATTAATTCTATGCRGTACTGAGGATTGAATCCAGTGCCTCACACATACAAGGCCAAGCTCTCTATCACTGAGCTACAAAACCGCAGCCCATTTTTCTTTTTTATCTATAGTATTAGGCATATACAAAAGTGAAGCCAGCAATGGCTTTTGACAAGCAGAAGTAATTCCATTTTAAGAGTTCTTAGTTTATGTGTCTCTAAAAATACAGTTTGAATTATATTCCAAACATTTAACCTTTTTAGTGATGTGGGATTCAGTTTAATATTGCTTATTTTAAGAAATATTCACACACACAAAAGCACGCATACTTCGGTTATTTGAGCCCAAATTTTCTGTAATTACATCTTAGGGGGAAAAAAAGCATCTTAATTATTCTTAGAAAGTCTCTCTTCCATGATGTGTTATATCACCTTTGCAATGAAAAGTTGAAACTATTCAAAATTAAGAAGCATGGTATTTATTTCAATTTCAATATGCATAATTATCATTAAATTGAGCCAGACCAAAGAACTCAAAATTTTATGAGTAATAATTACTTCATTATTCAGAATCTAATTAATGACATTCATACTTAAAAAGATATGCAATGCACATACCATACTAACAACATGTTACTTACTAACAATGTACCATATACCTAACTAATAATGATGTTAACATTTGGGGAAACACAGGATCTGTGTGTCATTTAACTGGCCAGTTATACTGTCTGGTATTTACGATTTTTGCCACTTCACAATGGGCCTAACATGAGGCTGTTATACAGATATAAACCATACACTGGCTATGCTTTTCTTTTCTAACAATGCCCCTTTGAATTCTATGGTCACAACATACCTTATAGACCTCTTGTGAAATAGTATCTTCTTTAATCCATACTGCACTGACTTGAATATCCAGAAGTCTTCCTGTGTCCGTGAGCACTTGCACATTGGGGTTATTCACATAGGTTGAAACTACTGAGTCTCGGTGCTGTTCTAAAGGATTATAGATCACAAGGTACCTGCAAAAACATCTGTGTCACTATCGGGATCTCAAAATATTTTTTTTTACTTCTTTCACACTCTTCCTAAGACCCCAGTTTATATCCAGTCATAGAGTCCACACATGGAGAAGAGATTCAAAGGAACACTCTGGTAAAACTTTCAGAGAACAAGCAATTTCATCACAACAAATACCACATAGTACAAAGGATAATGAAATTATGATTCAAAAGCACTTTCTCAGAATAAAGTGTTTAACTAATGGAAGACATTAATAGACTTGTAAAAAAGCATTTTTTTACATCCCAGAAAATGACAGAAAAGTATGGGGTTAGTCATCTAAAATAATCAGCTCTGTATAATAAATACCCTGATTCCTGCTCAAGTTCACTGAATAAAAATATCCATGACTTGTCTGTTTACAGCTTAGCCACAATTAATTCTCATAAAAAATATGACATTCATTTTAGACCACTAAAACACAGCCAATTATATGGCTATAAATGCAGAATCTCATAATTCACACATATATTTTATATATAGGGGGCCCTCATTGCTCAAGACAGGTCTGAAAAAAAAAAGATTATTTGAAGTGAACCCACTTACAATAAGAACCAAAATTTTATAAATATTGGTAAAAAGAAATTTGATGGGAACTTAGAGAGGAAAAGGAAAAATCAAAACAATTAAAATAAGTTCARCAATATCTGCCACTATGTGTAAATTCTTAGTAGGAACAACAACAATGATAAAAATAAATAAACTGAAATTTTTGGCAGAATTTTTCCAATATTCTATACTAGCACATTATGATGACATTTAATATTTTAATGATTTTAAACATAACTATATTTGTAAAAAAATAAAGACTTTGTAACTTTTCCTATAGTCCTTTCTCAATTCTGAYATTCAAATAATTCAGTGTTGAAGGATCCAACCACCTTAGTTTTTCACTGGCACGACTCTGCCAGTTCCTGGCTRTTTCATAATTTTGCCTGTGAGTAAAATCTATACCATCCTGTGAGAGTTTTCATATAATCTGAATCTTGGCATGATTTATGATTTTACTTTATAGTCAATTTGAATTATATTATCTTCAAATAAATCAAGAGTATTCTGAAGAGGATATTTGAGTAATAATGTTACTCACTGCTTCACTAGAGAATATTTTCAAGATCTGAGATATTTTGTTTTCCTAGAAAAACCTGTAACTACAGAAACATAGACTGAACAGTTAGATAATAACCACATTTCCAATATATAGTAGCTATAGCTAGGAGAAGCTAGCATCTGTTCATTGTAATACATCAGAAAGTCTACAGTATGCTTTCATCCTGCATGTTTCCTTTCTTATTTTTTATTTACTTTTTGCTTTTGATTGCATTACAAACCTCTTATAAAGAAACAAAATTAATGTCTACAGTGACCATAGTAAAGAAAAGGACAAAGAGAAGAACAAAGGGAAAAGCACAAGAATGCCTCTAATCCTATTAGGCTTCTAGACCTAGGCATCAGGACAAGACCTAACTTGTATCACCTGTCTTCACTGAAATTCCATATGTAAACAACAGATCTAGGAAGTCACCTGGCCATAAACATACTCACAAAAAGCACTGAAACCTTTACCACTAGATAAAACCCATTTTATCCACAAAAGCAATTCTCAAGGAGTGTGATGGTGGTGTCCCTTGAGAGGTGTGCTCTGAGGGACTTGTTAACCTATTTTGCACACTCTCACAGCCCCCTACTAAAGTTTACATTTCACCTGACTATTCTTCCATTATAAACACACCTGGAGAGTCTCCCATTATAAACACACCCTTGGTCACAAGTTCAGTGTTATCAACAGGACTGTCCCATATACCTAAGGTGCACTGGAAAAGAAAAACAGGTGATGGACGCTCACTCTTTGCACCAAAGATGTTTAAACCAGAACTCTGAAAATGAGTGATTTACTACTGAAACTCATGTTCCCAGAGGCTTGTGAAGCCAGTATGTGAGGAACTCTAGAAAACCATGGTTTGAAAACAAGTCAATCTTCTAATTCTGCAGAAGCCCAGAGGCAGACCCAGGCACTTGTAATACATGAAACCTAGAGTAACTGCTGAAATGTTTCTTGGATGCTCCATTACACCGTGCTGATCATGAAGACAGTGATAAAATACAACATGTTCAAGTAATCAATTAGATCAGAAGTATCCAGAATACTAGTTGCCTCCCATGGAAAATTTAAATAATGACTCGCACTTAATGCAAATAATAGTTTCAAACATATATTTGGTTTTGTAACATATTAAATTGCTTTTAGGTTCTGTTTTGTTTCATTTGAGTAGCTAATTAGTATTTGACTATAATGATGTTTCTACTGTACTGAATGATTATGTAATTATCATTCCAAGAATCTATTCAAACACTAAGTATATACATAACGTGTATAATGCTGCAGTAAAAAATAATTTTTAACATAATTAAAGATTCACAGCATGTTCTTCAAATGCATCACAGTACAAATTTATCTGACACACATTCAAAGTCCTATTTCTGTATAGAGAAAGTATAATTATAAATTATATTTCCTTTAGAAATAAGAACACCATCACAAATCAACTAAATTTTATCGTCATTATCATGTCTCCTAGTCAAACATTTGTTATACTTATAATATCCAAAATTGAGTTTTGCTAAAACCTTCAGTTTTAAATAAAACKCACAGGTTTCAATATAATTTCATAATCTCATTTATTTACTGAAAATTCACAAYACTTGATCCACACTAAGAAAAAGAAAGGGTTAATAGCTCAGAATTTTCTTTTTGTTTGTTTTTATTTTTCTCCTATTTCYTCCACATTAGCATTACTTACTTAGATATCATCTGGCATCAAATTATGTCCAACCTCCTAKTTCTCCCAACAACTTGGTATATGGGAAACTATTGAAATTCTCTATATGCAAAGAACAACTTTCATCTCATGAAGAAAAATCACTCATGTATTAGTTGCCAACCAAATTCGTAGACAGAAGATGATGTGCTTTGGTTGGGAGAAAAAGAAACAGGAAAAAAAAAAAAAGGACATCTGTATGCTCATGTCAAACAAGTAATAACTTTATGGAAGAAATGGAATTCCAGTGTAAATGTGGCTCTATCTTTCAAAATTCTACTGAGGATAAGTATATTCAGAATTCCTTCCCTCCCTTTACAGCAGTAATTCATGTTAAGAAAGAATGGAAATCCTTGAGTCCACTATTTGGGGCAAATCAAGTCAGTGCCCACCAAGATGTGAGCAATACAATAGACCATGCAGGTTTCCTTCTAGGACTGGATTAAGGATGGAATATGCCTCTTGGTCAGTGAAACCTTGAAATTACCATTCAGAATGCTTCTTGTATGTCTGAGGCAGCCCTGATGACTGTATTTGGGCAATCTACATGGCATCCTCTACATTCTTCCTATAAGGAAATTTGAGGTTTGGCAAGGTTAGGTTTGTTGCCAAGGCCTACCCAGCTAAAAAGCAAAATGTGGCTTAGCATTCACCCTTCACCCCAGAGCCATCTTCTTAATCACCTAGAATATAAGAATCTTTGAGAGACGTGGTTTCCCCAGGAGATTCCCTTAGTTACAAATTCCTGTGAAGAACTTCCTCATCAGCTACACCAAAGATCCCCACAGAGCTTCTCTTCTGAGGAAACTCAGGATGAACAAAAAGCTATTTATATTTTAAACATATTACATTTGTGCATTTGTGAAAGAAAACAAATGGAGAACACCAGAACAGAAAAGATCCTGCAATATATACTAAGGAGTTTGTCTTAGGACCTCACTGCATGTGGCAAGAAAACCAATATCTGATGAAATATTCTTAAAATACCATGTATTTTTTTAACTGTGTAAGAAGATAAAAATGAAAAATATTTTCAAGACTTCTGTAAGCCCAGTTTAAAATCAGTTAAGCAAACACTAGATTATATGAAAAATAATTTTAACTTTATTTGCCTACCATAGCATCTAGCACAGAATAATGTTCAAGAAATAGTTGCTGCATGAGTAATCCAGAAAAATCCCACTAAGATAATTTATCATTTATAAACACTTCCTAATTGTGTGGGGCTTTATACTTTTATCAGAGTGTTTTCATTTTTATTATTTTGATTCCTCAAAAAATACAAAATAGGTAATTAGCCCCTTTGTAAAGATATAGGAAATGACAGACTCAAGGTCACAGAGAATGTGAAGAACATAGCAAAGACTATAGTTCATTTTGTTTGATTTGTTTGATTCTTAATCAATGACAGCATTGATTTCAAATGAGAATATAGTCATCTTCTCTAAGTAACCTCATTATGGAACATAATCTAAAGAAGAGAGTTCAGGATTCTGAATCTGGAAATATATGGATTTACATATTAACAAACATGTCAATTTCTAGATTTGAGGTTCTTTCTATATTCTACCTCATTTTCTAAATTTAGAATATAATCTTTTTTTTCAGTTGTAGATGGATGCAATACCTTTATTTTATGTATTTATTTTTATGTGATGCTGAGGATCTAACCAATACTTTATACGTGCAAGGCACATGCTCCACACTGAGCTACAACCCTAGACCCTAGAATACAATCTTGCCATATTAGTTAACAGGKAAAAAAAATTAAGATATTGAAAACAAAGGGTGTTGAGAGCCACACCCCCCAAGGGGCCCCAGCAAACTTCCAGCTATCAGCTGATGATTGGCTCACAGCAGCCCCAGCAACTTCTGGCTGCCAACTGATTGGCTCTTCTGAGGTGATGCTCATTGGGCTGTTTCCCTGCCCTTTCAGACCATGGAGCTGCTCATTGGGGGACTTTTTTTGGCTCTGCCCACACGACCCAGCCAATCAGCCTCAAGAGCAGGAGGAGGGGGGGAGGTGGAAAGGCTTGTGGGAAGCCGGTGGTGGCAGTTGGGCTCTGAGGGTTTTCCTGAGGAGCTGTGTGGTTTGGTGTGTGTGTTCTAAAAATAAAGTTCGTTTCTTTTGACAAGTGGCT